AGAGCGGTAGCATGAGGGGTCCAAGTGCCTTGGGGAGGAGGGACACTGGGTGGTTTGCAAAGGTGTAGGAGGGGATGCTGGGGGCCCCGAGGCCTGACTTCATGTACGCCGCTCAGGTTGCCTCCAAGTCCCACGGTGGCCTGCAGGAAGACAGCAGCCTGGCTTGATGTCTGATCCGCTGTGGGTGCTCAGTCTGAGCTTCTCTGTGGTCTCATGATCCAAAACTCCCTGGGTGGGCCTGATGCAGGGTGTCTGTGCCAGTGCTCTCTCCTCCCAAGCTGGGTTGGGATTTCTGCCTACTGCCCTGGGACTGTGGCTGCCCTGGCCCTGGGAGAGGAGGGCGGTGCCGCTGACTCATTGCCTGGGCATCTGGGCCTGGAACCACGGGTGAGTCACCTAGGACTAGCAGTGCTGGGGGAGGGGAAAGAAGCTGGTGGACATCTGGAAGGGGGAGGGGAGCTGGTCCCACAGGAAATGCGGTGCCGGGACTGGATTGGGGCAGTAGGCGACGGGGGCCTGGGAAGGGGCAGCGTGAAGCCCGCTCTTCTCTGAAAGCCCCTTCCCTGGGCTGGGTCCTGAAAGGCCTCAGTGTTTGCCTTTCTCTGGGGAGGGGCCTGGAGGAGTGGGGTGAGGGAGGCTGTGGCCTCACCCAGGCCTGGCCACTGGGCTTGGGGAGCTGTCTGGCCCCTTGTCACCTGCCCACCTTGCAACCTGCAGGAGGCCCGAGTTTTCTCCTCTCCCTTCAACCCTCCCGGGGTGTCCTGACTCACCACAGACCGCTGCTCACCCCAGCTGACTATAACAGAGCCATCTCCACCTCTCACTGCCTTCCCGCCTCCTGCCAGACCCCCCTCCTACCCAAAGGGGACCTTTCCAGGTATGTTCTGGTGCCGGCTATTAAAAGTAACTTTGGGGACTTCCTTGGTGGTCCAGTGGCTAAGACTCCGCGCTCCTAATGCAGGGGGCCCACGTTTGATCCCTGGTCAGGGAACTAGATCCCGCGTGCCGCAACTAAGACCCGGTGCAGCCAAATAAATAAATAAACAAATAAATATTAAACCAAAACAGTGACTTTGTCTCCCTCATTCCCTGAGGTGACCCCTGCCCTCTTCTTCCTGATGACCCCCCAGCTGCCTTCTGGCTTCTCCAGCGCACATACACAGGCCTGTGCAGTCCCAGCGGGCACCTGCAGCCACTGACACACCAGTGAGCTGTGACTCACAGGCGTGTGTCATGAGAACAAAGCCTGGCCTGAGTCACCAGGCTCTGCAAACAGGGGCTGTCTCCCCTGCCCTGGGCCCAGGCTACCCCTTCCCCATGACACCTCCCACTCCCCCCCCCCCCCCCCCGACACTAAATCTTGCCCTAATCCTAACCCGGGAGGGGCTGCCCTTGGCCGGCCTAGAGCTCTCCCAGAGCTGAGCTGGACAGCTGGCGGTGCCCCTGGCAGTCTCTGGGATGGACAGGGCTGGGAGTGGCAGGAGGCCAGGCTTTGGCAGGATCAGGTTAGGGCAGGTTTGGTTTCCTCAAAATACAATGTTGGGGGCCAGTGGGGCTGGCGTATAAATCCCCCCTCTGGGCACCTGGCCCTTTGCTTTCCTTCCCGGGTGTCTCTCTGCTATCAGGTCTGGTGAGTACCTCTGTCCTGCTGAGGGATGGGTGGGGCTGACCCCCATGGGTCTCTACCTTTGTCCCTTTGTCTTTTTTTTTTTAATTTATTTTTATTTATTTATTTTTTTGCATTATGCGGACCTCTCACTGTTGTGGCCTCTCCCATTGCGGAGCACAGGCTCCGGACGCGCAGGCTCAGTGGCCATGGCTCACGGGGCCAGCCGCTCCATGGCACGGGGGATCTTCCCGGACCGGGGCATGAACCTGCGTCCCCTGCATTGGCAGGCGGACTCTCAACCACTGCGTCACCAGGGAAGCCTTGTCTTTTTTTTTAATTAATTTTTATTGGAGCATAGTTGATTTACAGTGTTGTGCTACTTTGTGCCGTCTGTCCCTTTGTCTTGATCTCTGTCTCCTGCTGGTTCCCTTGGTGGAAGAGGCCTGGGACCTCTGTGGGTCTCTGCATCTGGGGGCCCTCCTGTGAAGTGTCAGACCGAGGCCTTTTCCAGGTTCCTCTGTGGTGTTTAGGGGTTACTCTGAGGCTCTCTCTTGGGTCTCTCAGTCCGGCTGTCAGTCTAGAGGCACTTCTTGGGGCTTTAGGCCCAGGAGTACAAAGCGTGCATGGGGCGGGTGAGGGTGGGATGGGCGCTTTAAGGAGGATCCTGGGTTTGTTTGGGTTTTGTTTTTGTTGTTTTGCAAAGTCCTGGATTCCAGCAGAACTGAGGAACAAAAGCCAGGGATCTGGAGCATGCAGCCTGGGTTCCCGCCCACTGCTTCTTCCTGTCTTATCCTACCTCCCGAAGGCAGGGCTGGCAGGATGGGCCCCGGGGCTCTTCTCGCTTCTGGTGCCAGCTCCTCTGGCCTCACCCTGGGACTCGCTTAACCCTCCTGGGGTGGTGTGACCATTCTCAGAGGCAGAGCCTTGGAAAAGGTGACCTCCGAGGTCTGTCCTTGGTCTTAGATTCCGCCCTGATCCCAGGGTGCTGGGCTTTTAATTTCTTTTATTCCAGTCCCTATAGGACGTTTCCTGGTGGGGAGGGTGTACGGTTGCCTCCACCCTACCCATGTCCTGTTTGCATAGAGCCAGTACCCCTGCTCAGCGGCCTCCAGTATGAGGGGACACACATTCCCTACCTGGTGAGAGGCCCTAGTCTGAGGGAGGATATGAGCCCACCCAAGGGAGCTTCCAGTTAGATGGGAGAGCGACACCCTCTGGCAGAGGCAGGAATTGACTCCTCGGGGAACCTCGTACCCCTGGGCCATAGCCATGGCCACTGCCAGAGCCCAGCGAGCCCCACTGACTAGCCCATGGAGATGCCCGTCTCCGCAGCACTGGCACAGAGCCCACTGGTCTGTGGAAGGAGCTGCACAGAGAGGATCCCAAATGGGACTCTGGCTACCCTGTCATTTCTTTTCCACAGATGCTCAAAGAGGGGAGCCCTGTGGGCCCCAAGTGTGATGGGAGGAGACATGAGGCCCTTCCAAATACAGAGGAAGGTCTAGCATCTGCCCGCAGTGTGAGGTGGAGGTATGGCCCCTGCCCAGGGAGCCATAGGCCGAGTGGGAGATGCAGCCCTGCTTGCCCATTCAGAGAGGGGCTTGGAGAGGCAGTTTGGGGCAGAAGCGGGTCCTGCAGGCTGGGCTGAGGCGTCTCCATTACTTGCCAGCCCTGCAGCCCCAGATCTAAGATGCCCAGTCCTCTGGAGTAGGCGCTGGCTGTGATGGTCACCACCTTCCACAAGTACTCTGGCCAAGGGGGTGACAAGTTCAAGCTGAGTAAGGGGGAGATGAAGAAACTTCTGCACAAGGAGCTGCCCAGCTTTGTGGGGGTGAGTGGGGCCGGCCTGGGACGGGGAGGGTCCTGGTGTGTGCGTGCAGGGGCACAGGCTGAATCCCTTCTCCCTTCCTTGACGGTGCCTGCTGACGCAGACACCAGGGTGGGATCGAGCCCTCCATGGCCTCACTGGAGTGAGAGTGAGGCCCGTGTGTGAATGTGTGTGTGAGTGCTCTATTGCTGGCTCTTCCCCGCAGCTTTCCAGAGAATGGGTGTGCTGTCAGAGCCCAGAGAGGGGAAGAGACCGGCTCAAGATTACACAGCTCTCACATGTGATCTCTCTCTCTCTCTCTCTCTCTCTCTCTCTCGCTCTCTCTCTTTCGTGTTCCATATTTATATGCCAAACTAAGAAGGTGTGTAGGGAGAGAAAAGCCCAGCTAAGACACGCACCCTGAGATATTTTGCCGTCAACTCTCAACTTGCCCCTCGCCCTTCCCTTGCTGACTCCTGGATAATCCCAAAGTCAGGTCTCAGGCTTTGAACGTATGAGGCATGTCCTTCTTTCTTTAAAAAAATTGTTTTGGTCACACTTTTCTAATTTGGTTTCATTTTGTCTGGTATGAAAAAGAGTCCGTCTTTTTTGAATTCACTTTTCTGGTGATGGGGAGTGGTGGTGGCTTCAGAAAGCTTTAGTTTCCTCCTCAGCAAACTGGGGGTAAGGCCCACCTTGCTGGGCTCCTGTGGGGAGTAGAGCTGATACTGCGCCTAGGGAATGCCTGGTGTGCTCCCCACTCCCAGCAGGGGGCGCCGGAGACTCCCACTGATGCACTTCTCTCTGTCCTCACTCACTGGGTCTCCTAGTGGCTCCCAGGGGCTCCCTGCCCACCACATACCTGGCTTCCCAGTGTGGAGGGAGAGCTGGGCTCTGACCCGTGAGAGCAGCCTGGTGATAAGCCCCTTGTCTCTCACTTCCAGAAGAAGGTGGATGAGGAGGACCTGAAGAGGATGATGGGTGATCTGGATAAGAACAGAGACCAGGAGGTGGACTTCCAGGAGTACGCTCTCTCCCTCGCCCTCGACACTATCATGTGCAACGACTTCTTCCAGGGCTCCCCAGCACAGTCCTGATGTAGAGCTCGTGGTTCCCTCCATGGGTCTCTTGGGCCCAGGAGGACTCTCTACCGTTTTTAGTTTTATATTCAGTAAACTCTTTTGCTTGTTGACAATATTTTAATTGCTCAGTGATGCCCTGTCACCTGGCTGGCTCAAAGACTCAAAGCTTCTTTCTTTTTTCTTTTTTTTTTTTTGCGGTACGCGGGCCTCTCACCGTTGTGGCCTCTCCCCTTGTGGGTC